AACTCTTTGATCATAATTAAGTCATGTTTGTGAACTAAATAGTGTTTAAAAACACAATTATCAAGAAATTCTATTCATGTTTAATTGTCAAATTCTATTTTGAGGTCCATTGGGTGGAAGCTTGGTTCCTTTCGTAGATTGGTTGAGATTTTTCGAGATGGCTGGGTTGAAGTATGATATTTCGTAACTAGATCGCAATATAAGGTTTTCTTTCTGACAAGTAAAGATGACGGTTGTTCTAGCGCAGTTGGATTTGGACGATGCGTTGTTGGGTTTTGAGAAGATGCCAGCTGATTGGACAACAGGGGAAAAACAACGAAAGGATCGAAATGCTATATCATTGATTCATCTTTATTTATCCAACAATATTCTACAGGATGTCTTGAAAGAGAAGACGGTGGCTACTTTATGATTAAGACTAGAGCAGTTATGTACGATTAAGAGTCTTACCACTAAACTGATTCTTAAGCAGAAGTTGTATTCCCATCGCATGACGGAAAGAGGATCGTTGGAAGATCACATTGCCGTGTTCAAGGAAATAATTGTAGATTTGAAAACGTTGGAGGTTAAGTATGATGAAGAGGATCTTGCTTTGATCCCGTTGTGTTCGCTGCCTATTCTTATGCATCGTTTCAGGACACCATCTTGTATAGCTGAGATACTTTGACTATGGACGATGTCTATGATACTTTTCACTCAAAGAAGAAGATGAAGAATTTGAGTGGAGCTATATCAAGGAATGGAGAAACTCTTGTATCTCAAGGTGGTCGATAGAGAGGTAGATCAAGAGTCAACTTTAGCAATGTGTATTGTTATTACTGCAAACGGAAGGGACATATTCAGAAGGATTGCATTATGTTGCAAGTTAGAGGTGATTTAGCTGCAAATTATGGAGCACAACCTTTAACTTCAGACGAAACCAATGCAGTTGAGGATTTTTTAGATGGCATAGATCTAATGTTGACCGTGGTATCTGATGTGGAATCTAGGCCCAACGAGGAGTGAATTCTTAATTCGGCATGTTCACACCATATGTGTTTCGACAGGAATTTATTTCAGACATATGAGGCTGTTCAGCAAGGTGTAATTGTAATAGAAAATAACCAGTCTTGTCGTATAACTGGAATCAATCGAGTCAGATTGCGGTTACAGGATGGGACCGTCGAAACACTTGGCCAGGTTCGACATGTTTCAGATTTGAAGAGGAATCTTATCTCACTAAGTGCCCTGGATGGAAAAGGGTATAAATTCTCTGGAAGAGATGAAGTCTTGAAGATCCGAAAGGAAGTCTGGGTTGTGTTGGAGGGACGGAGAAGATCCCAGATGTACATTTTGTAGGGGAGTACAGAACCAGTTAAGAGGAGACATTTGGATGAGTTTGGTACAATATTTCTTATGTTGGGCTTTGAGTCAGTTCAAAATAATGCTACGGAGAGCATTGGTGATTCCACTTTGCCACCAATTTCAACGGGTACACTATGTTCAGTTGCGGGGTTGGAATCATCGAGTATAGTTACCATAGTGTCAGTAATATCTAGGACACTTTTAGGAACGTTGAAGACGACAATTCCAACAGAGGACCTTCTAATCAAGCATCTAGTTTGGTTCTTACTACAGGGTGTGCTTCGACCCTGTGTGATCAACATTAATTCTGAGGAGGAGTTTTAGGAACCCTAGGATTGTTTCGGGTGTCGCTTGTGGATGCCGGGCAGAGGACGATTGTGTTTGTTTATATGGAGTGTTTGGTTACTGCGTTGAGGAGATTGGTCAGTTCATTTCGATGCAAATGGATTTAAAATCTAGGAGTTTCCTTCGGTTGCACCGAAATTCATGTCAAGGTGGAAATTGTCAAAATTTTGTGGTGACTCGAATTCTTTTGTTGAAATAATTGTAGAATTCTAATTGAAGTGCACATCAAAAGGATTCTAGTTAGAATACTTTGAGGAATCCTATTCAAGTTTAATCGTCGAATTATATTTAAAGTTCTATTTTGAAGTCCATTGGGAGTTGGAATTTGAGTTTGACTTGAAAAGTTCAAATAAGAAGATTTTTAGGCATTTTATTTCATCTACAATTCTACTTCTAGGAATTGATTTTTCCTATAAATATGAGACTCCTCTGTTAGTTTTGGAAGAAGCAATTTGGCTAAGTTGTATTTGTTTTCTCCATATTTTTCAATAATAAACATCGTTCCTCTGCGATTAACCCTTTTTGTTCTTCTTTATTTCAAATTTTGTTTTCGCTGTGTGATCTTGTTTACTTTAATATTGTCATTAAATCTCATTTTTTACAATCCGATTTAGGATCAACAAGTTGTATTCGAGCTTCCGCGCCCAACAATCTTTGCATACAATGTGTCTTTATGTGGGAACTGAGAGAACAGTTTTACGCTAATCGTTTGAAAGATGGGATGCGGGGGTAGATTTAGATAAAAATCACCATGACTAACATTGCATAATGTGGTTGCAAATTCCTCCGTTGTGTTGAATATCTAATGACAGATCGCACTGGATAACAAAAAGAATTCACAAAGTCGACCTCAAAATTTTAATTAACACGCCTCTGAACTTGAGGATGATTCGATGCAGCTCAATATCCCAGAAGGCACCATCTTATCCGAAGGGCATTTCCCTGGCTTTGTTCAAATGGTAACAAGGTTGATTAGATATTTGAGGCATATTTATATTTTAAAAAAATAAAATTGCATTATTGCATGTGAAGGCAAAAGTACAGGACCCCCACAATGTCAGTGTTTGATTCAAAATTTGTTGAAAAATGGAAGCAGTGGGAGTCACTTTGTGTTGCTTCTTTATAACCTTAACTAGAGAAAGTGGACTACTCAGAAGCCTATGAAATGTATCCCATCACCTGAACATAAGGAATCTGCCTTTGTTTATTATTCACCCTTCAGCCTTTGTTTCGGTAATCGAGATGAGAGTACTGATTATTGGCTGTCCAGAGAAAGGACCACAAGGAAAAATCCCTTAAATTCTTACGTATCATGGAGTTGATTTCCGTTAAGAGGTCTTTGCTGATATACGATGAGTATTTCAAGAGGATCGGTAGGAATAATCTTGACGACAAGTCAACAATTCGATATTTGAATTGAAAAATTAATAGATGTGAGGGGAGAACTAAACAAGGGTGCTAGAAGCTTCGCCAAAAGCAAGCAACATGAGGGCGCTCTGCTTCGTAGACAAGGCACGTTAGTCGTTCCGTACTTGTATTTTTGAGTGTTCTTAAAAATACTGATAGAATCCCATTTGAATTGGACTTGAGCTTGCTTGAGAGGCAATACAAGTTCTTATATATCATCTCTACCGTAAGATGAGTATTGTGGTGGCTAGTATGCGATGACATGAGATAAAACACTAGAAATTCACGATGTAATTATGAAGTGCATGTTTATTATGCAAGATTTGATTAGAATATTATGATGAACAAGACTT